ATATGGATACCTCCATTGGGACTGGACTCTGAAATGCCTTGATACTTTCACAATGGGAGGTGACAACATTGCAAGACTCTAACTAAAAAATAGAAAATTCAAAGTTACCAAGTAATCTGGAATGAATAATACAAGCTACAAGGTTATGATATTTTCTAGGCTTTTGAATGATTTAATGTGGCAGTATGGTCAGGAGAGACACTGGCCCAGAGATCAGGTTTTTTTGGATTCCGTTTGTGATGAGTTAGGCATAGAAACAGGCTTGGAATCATAAAGCCTTAGAGCAATGAGCAAGGCCATTTGGACCATCATTCTGTTCTCATTCCCAGCCCCTCTCTAAGCATTATTATTTTTAAACTTTCAGAGGTTTCTTATGTTTTTAACCATTGTACTCATGACTAGACTCAGCAGTCCAATACGGTTTATATGTAAGTGGGCTGATACTGTTTCAAGTCATATTTGCCTATGCTCATTGCTTACTGGTCATTTATTCAGCTATTTTGAAACTGACAATGTAATTGCCCCTATACATTAAAGTCCAGTTAATTTCTCCTGTTCCACATATCATTAGACAGGGCTCAAAATCAGTGTGGCACAGGAGATTGGTGGCAGCAAACTACCTCAAACAACCTTAATCTGAATCACATACTGGCAGAGGTGGCAGATATCAGAAATGTCAGTAACGGTAATCATAATACTGCACGTGACTCCTGCTAGAGCAGTACGAATTTCAAATATATTCCGTTGCTGAAGCATCAGTTGTGGTTCCCTGGCAGTTGACTTGTCTCTGAATCAGAAGGTCATGGGTTAAAGTTCCACATTGCTAACTTGAATGCATAATCTAGCCGGACACTTCAGTGCAGTGTTGAGAGAGTGCAACACTAGAAAAGTGCTGTTTTTATGTAAAAGAACTGTCAAACCAAGCCCCACTTAACCTTAAAGGTAGATGTAAAAAATAATCACACTGCTCTCTTTCAAAGAATAGGACAAGAAGTTTGTTTTACTGACAATTGGTGACTCAGATACAAGTTACATTTGAAATTATTTTGGTAGTTATTCAAAATGTACTTAAGAGCTTCATCGTCACAAAAGCGAAGTATTTTTAGTCAAGAGTATTTAGTCCATTGCCTGCGGGTCATTCAGTTTTCAAGATCTACAGCATTATTTCAACATATTATCATCCTTCTTGACCCTGAGCAGAATTTTCAACACAATATCATCATCATCACAAAGAAAAATGCCCATTTCACTTTTGTAACATCACTGGTATCTACTGCGCCTGCATCTCATCAACTGCTGAAACCTTGATCCATGTCCATGTTGTCGCCATACTCCACTCGAATGCAGTTTCTGCTGGCCAGCCTTGAACCCTTCCCTCTCTCTCTGGATTTCAATTCATTTAAAACATTGCTGACCAAAGTCCTTCTCAGTTGTTGCAACTGTCCTAGTAACCAAGAATATCTCAAATTTGAAATGTTAATCTTTATTTAAATCCCATTTTGGCCTATCTCAAGAACTTCCTCTCTCTCAAAATTTCCTTTCCTCTAACTCTGACCTCAATGTATCTGTTCTGTCATAGAGTCAGAAGGTCATACAGCATGGAAACAGACCCTTCAGTCCAACCAGTCCACACCGACCATGTTCCCAAACCAAGCTATTTGCACCTGCCCATGCCTGGCCCAAATCTCTCCAAACCCTTCTGAACCGATCTCAGTATTAGTTGTCCACATCCTGGCTTCTCCTCGAAGATGCTTCTTCAAACTAACCTACTTGTGCCAAAATTTTGGCCACCCTTCCAAACCGCACCCATGGCTCGGTATCTTTTTATCATAGAGCCATACAGCACAGAAACAAAGCTTTTGGTCCAACTTGTTTGCACCTACAAGATATTCCAGCGTGACGTAGTCTCATTTGTCATCATCTGGCCCATATCCCTCTCAACTCTTCCTATCCGTATATCCATCCAGATGGTTTTTAAAAGTTGTAATTGCACCCGCCTGCACGACTTCCTCTGGCGGCTGGTTCCATACAAGCACCACCCTCTGCATGAAAATCTTACCTCTCGGGTCCTATTTACGTCTTTTCCCTCTCACCTTAAATCAATGCCCTCTAGTTTTGGACCCCCTTCCCCTAGGAAAAAAACCTTGGCTGTCTATCCTATCTATGCCCTTCATGATTTTATAAGATTCTATATATCTTATAATATCTATATCTTATAATCTTCTGTAAGATCACCCCTCAGCCTCCAGTGCTCCAGGGAAAATAGCCCCAGCCAATTCAGCCTCTCCCTATAGCTCAAACCATCCAGTCCTGGCAACATCCTTGTAAGCTTTTTCTGTACCTTTTCAAGTTTAACAACATCATTCCTATTACAGGGAGACCAGAATGATGTGTGCTATCCTAAAAGTAACCTCACCAATGTCCTGTACAGCCGCAACATGACATCCTAACTCGTATGCTCCGTGTTCTGACCAACGATGACCGGCATGCCACATGCCGCCTTCACCACTCTGTCTAGTTGTGATTCTACTTTCAAGGAACTATGCACCTACACTCCTCGGTCACTTTGTTCAGCAACACTTCCCAGGGCCTGACCAATAACTGTATAAGTACTGCCCTGTTTTACGCTACCACAATGCAACACCTGACACATCTAAATTAAACTCCATCTGCCACTCCTTAGCCCATTGACCCATCTCATCAAGGTCCTGTTGCACTCTGAGATAATCTTCTTCACTGTCCACAACACCAACTATTTTGATGTCAACTGCCTTAATAACCATACCTCCTGTATTCACATCCAAATCATATATATATAAATGATGGAAAACAATGGCCCCAGCCTTTTATTGACTGTTTAAGGTGCCGTCGATATGTTTATTCTTGCGTTGAACACTGTGCATAGTGCCATTGCCAGCACATGCCCACCTCGCCATGGGGTCTGTTGATGAAAGCCTTCATTGTTGCCTGATTTATTATTGGCATTTGAAGAATGTGCTGCGGCATTAAAGTTATGATTATGCAATCTGATCCTAGTTCTGTACATGCCATTAATAGTGAGAAAATATTCTGTCTTGGCATGAACTGAATCGCAATAAAAGACCATGCCTAGTGCAAGGTATCTTATGTAGCAACAGCAATTTGATTGTTGTTGAAAGAGGATGCATGTCAGCATAGCAGTTTGTTACTGTAATGTGACACTAATTAGATATATTTGCTACTTTCATTCTGGGACCAGCTGTTGGGGAGTACAGTGCTTCGGTAAACTGGATCTGTCTCTGGAGTGAATACAAACCTGACTCGTGTATTAGGCGAGTCATGACGTAAACAATGCAGACGCTGCCTTGTACTTGATTTACTAGGAAGGCTGCTGTACTTCCCCAGTCATCAGTAATGGCTTTGTAATGAAGTGTGTTCACTAACAACACTTTCCTCCATTGTAAATCGTTTCCTGCCCTACATGATATCTTTAACGTGAGCAAGAACCATTACTGTAGCCCAAGGGTTCAATTTGTGCATGGGCCTTCATTAACAAGGTCTCTATCAGGTTATGTCCATAAAAGGTCTTCTTTCTCCTTGCTGTATAATTTGACCCATTTCCTTTGTTCAAAGGTCCATATCTCCTAAATAGATTGTGATCTGGTCTCATTTCCTCCACCAAAACATGGGTCAGCTATGTTGATAAAAGCATCAATTCTTTTCTGGCTTCTCATCTATTGGAAACAATAGCCTTCCCTTGATTTTCTCAAATAATGCTGTAGGGTTTTTGTAAGCCTCTTTTGCCATAGTCTCCTGGTTCAAGGGGAGTGAATAGGAGGTTCGTGCCTTAATGTCTCAACGCTGGTTATGACTGATTGATCTACTCGATTTCAATTTGTGGAAGCTACGCAGCCAAAATTGCTCATGTATTCTAGTCACTTGGTAGGTTGGTGATCATTTTAAAGTGGTTGTTGATCTCTGAAGATTGTTGTGTAGTATGTTGCTAGCTAGATTATTAACTTTTATCTCAAAAGCAGGTGTGCCAACTGTATCTAGATAGACTGTTATCAAGTGTGCATTGCAAAGTTTACTGATCTTGCAGCACTCAAATTGCCTACTAGGCTGCCTGAAGAGAATGGAGCTGAGGGTCCAGAATGGTCACTCCTCTCTTGAGTCTCCACTTTTCCAGACTATTGTTTGATCTTGATGGTACATGCACCATTTCTAATTTTTCTGTGAAAAGTTTTAGCTTTGGCGCAGTTGATAATGCATTCCACTTTGTGATTCAAATCCCACTCAAGATAATTTAAATACAGAAATCTAGGCTGAAGCGTCCAGAGGTGTATCTTTTGGTTGATAAGATAAACTGAGGTTCCATCTCTTCCCTTTAGGTGACAATGCCATGGATCTTGTACAAGCTGATGACAACCAGGGAAGTTTTAATATTTAATACCTCCCCTCCCCCTGAGCAGGGATTGCAAGCCTTTCTTTTGGTTTTCCATCTATGGGAATTTTGTTTACTGCGAATATGTTAATTTTAAAATTAGCTCGATCATAAAGTTGTGCTTTGGATCTTGGGCTCTGCAGGCTTAGTTGTTGACGAAATTCTTTGTGCTGAGTACTGGGAAAAAGTTCCTGGAGAGTATTTTAATTATGAATTTGAGCCAGATGCCCCTGTAGTGACATTGACTCTCTCTGCTAATGTTTTTCTCCGACAGTCATTGCTGAGATCTGGAATTTGGGACATGTGGAGGAGTGGAGCCTATAATTGTTTTGGGAGGAAATTTCAAACTTTGTCAATGGCTTTGGTGAAGATTAGGGCTAATTAAAAGGATAGAGTAGACTTCGTCTCAGTACTTCGCGTAACAATCGCTGTTTAGTAATTGGCTGTCTCTTTTTTTCTTCTCTAAATTGCAGTCTTTTCAAAGTCATAGTCATAATGTTGCTTAGCATTTTTCAAACATTATATTTCTTGGTTTTTCAGATTTTATTAACTTAAATTATGGCCTTCTGTTTTGCAGATGCATTTGTGAACAGCCAAGAGTGGACTCTTAGTCGATCTGTGCCAGAACTCAAAGTGGTGAGTATTGTCACCAGTGCATTTAAATAAGGCGCCATTCCAACAAAAAATGATCTTCTTGGCAAATTTCATGAATATTTGGGTGTAATCCTTGACTGTTTCTTTTTTCTCTGAATTCTGTGATGAGAGAATTTTCATTATAGGTGCATTATCAACAAATTGTAGGTAATTAGTCGAGATCATAATGTGACTCACTTGTTAGAAATGACATATTTTCATAAATAGGGACCTTTCTCTTCAAACGAAAGGAATATTTTCAAGTCTTGTGCCTTTTCTTTAAATAACCAGGTGCCTGGGGAGCCTTAGTTCTTTGTTGCTTTTTCCATGGTAACACTTTTTGACCAATTGGAGTCAACTTGCCAGCTAATTAACACCCTTGCTTCTGTAGTATAAATTGCCATGAACATTTGAAGTTTGACGTTCTTGCGTTTGTTCTGATGAGTGCAAAACCAAAAGCTTCAGCTGAAAATCATTTTTCATCCTGTTCTGTGTTCTTTCACATAGAGTCATAGAGATGTACAGCGTGGAAACAGACCTTTTGATCCAACCTGTCTGTGCTGATCAGAAATCCTAAATTAATCTAGTCCCATATGCCAGTGTTTGGCCTATGTCCCTCTAAACCCTTCCTATGCAAGTACCTGTCCAGATGGCTTTTAAATGTTGTAATTGTTCCAGCCCCTACCATTTCCTCTGGCAGTTTGTTCCATACATGCACCAGCCTCTGCATGAAAAGTTGCCCCTTGGGTCCCTTTTAAATCTTTCCCCTCCCACCTTAAATCTATGCCCTCTGTTTTGGACTCCCAACCCTAGGGAAAAGACCTTGGCTGTTCACCTTATTCATGCCCCTGATGATATTATAAACTTCTATAATGCCATCCCTCAGCCCCAACCTAGTGAGCCTCTCCCAATAGCTCAAACCCTCCATCTCTGACAACACCCTTGTAAATCTCTTCTGGACCCTTTTGTTTTTCACTACATCTTTCCTACAGCAGGGAGACCAAAATTGAACACTATTCTAAAAGTGGCCTCACCAATGTCCTATACACCTGCAACATGACATCCCAATGCCTATACTGAAGACACTGACCAATGAAGGCAAGCGTGCCAAACTTTGTCTTCACCACCCTGTCTGCCAGCAACTCCACTTTTGAGGAACTGTACATGTGCACCCCCAGGTCTCTGTTTGACATCACTCCCTAGGCCCATGCCATTAGCTGTATCAGTGCTGCCCTGATTTGCCATGCCAAAATGCAACACCTCACACTTGTCTACATTAAACTCCATCTGCCACTCCTTGGCCCATCGGCCCAACTTTCCCTGGAGTAGATTCCCATGTATAACTCATTCCCGGTTATTTGTTATTCTCTACATAAACCACTCCTTATTCCCTCAATTAGATTCCAATCTGTAACTCACTTCCGGGTATCTGTTATTCTATATATAAATACACCAAACTCCTCAATTAGATTCCAGATGTAATTCACTCCCCAGTATTGATTATTGGACGTGTAAACCGAAGCCCTCGTGTGTAACTCACTCCCTGGTATATGTTAGTCTGTATATAAACTACCCCAGACACCACCATTAGCGTTCAGATTGTAACTCATTCCCCTGGTATGTGTTGTACTATATATAAACTCACTGCAAACATCAATGAGATTCCAGTCTCTAACTCGGTGCAAACTAAATGTTTGAATGTTGAACTGGGAGCGGAACAGAGAAGGCTGAAGTTCAATTTCTGCTACATTCTGTTTCTCCAAAAATAATTAGTTTTATGGAGTGTACCAGTTCAATACAGCAGCTCGTTACCATCTTCTCAAGGGCTGATAGGAATGGAGGATAAATGCTGGCCCAGCCAGTGATGCTCACATCCTGTGAATGAATGGGAAAAAAAAAACCCTTGCCTTCCCAATGACTTGCTACCCCTGCAGACTAATTCGCTGTGAGTCAAATGCCATGACACCCAGATCCCTTTGTACCTCAGAGTCCTGCAACATCTCCCCAGTTAAATTGAAGTCTCTTTATTGATTCTTCCTGACAAACATCACACTCTCCACTTTATACTGCATTGGACAAAGTTTTACCCACTCACTTACCAACTGTACATTGCTCAATTTGAATACCCCTTACATCGTCTTCACAATTTACCTTATAAACTGTTCTCACCAATAAGGTTCAAAAAAGACTGACCTGATTTGATGCCTGTTGAAATCCAAATATCCTTTGTCGCTCTCTGTCCTTTGGTCAGTGTGTGTTTCTGCCTGTTTCTCTCTCTTCTCCCAAAATATCTCCCCCTGTCACTAATCTTTGAAGCTGGATACTTATGTTGCAGTACAGCTCGAGAAACATGAGCACTGCTATTTAATTGAAGTGACTGTTTTTATTTACTTGGTCAGTGAGTGTTGATAAGCCACACTGTTGTAAGAGCATCAATGCCAAGACTGACTCTTCCCTTACCTGCTGTTCAGGAAAACCATGTTGTAACATGGCTCTTTGAAACACACCCTGGCTTTTTCCACACTTGCGTCCTTATCGATATGGGTACATTGGTGCATTACTGCCCTCATTAAGAACTGAATTTGTTTTTGTCTTTAGTTCACTGAATTATTGGAGGAATACAATGGCTTATTTATTTCTAATTTTTGCTGCAGAAAATTACTCACCTGCAAGCTCTTTGCAACCATACAGTTTATTATTTGAGAGTTTTTACCATGTAACTGTTTATTCATCTTGAGACATCTGATCCGTATGTGTGATATGTTGACGTGATCACGGTGATTTAGAATGTGTATTATTGGTTTAAAATTGTTTCTAATACATAGAAGTACAAATAGTTTTCATTTTGGATATGTAATTAGTCAATTATTGATTTGAAGAATAGCACTTTTGTGGAAAATCGTTGCCTTCCAAATTGTAGATATCAGTTTGGTGTCTGTGTTAGTTGTCACTTGTTGTTGTTAAGTAAATAAGTAAGACTAGGTTATGTTCAAGATGAACTCTGCACTTCTATAATGCTGCTGCTCTCCTATTTTCCACAACATTTGTTTGAAGGAATGGAAAAATAGTCAATTATTTGTTGTATGCATGACCATCATTCTTTAGATAAATGGTAAGTCATGAAAGGACCCAGATGCCAAAGTGCATGCAGAATTAGTGTCCTTTCTTTGCAATGAAACATGATTAATGTAGCTCCCATCCACACTCTGCACTCCAACGCACTGTTCTAGGCAGGTGACAAGGGCATAGCCTGATCCCCCTCACCTTCAGCCTTGTGCATGTTTTCCCTCCCTCATCCTCCGCTTGCATCTATGTTTTACCATCCCCTTTCTTCCACACAGCCGCTTCCATGCACTCTTATTGCTGTTCTCGTTGCCTTCCCCAGTCGTATGTAGCTGCTCTCAAGTGATTGCCATTCCCTGCTCTTGTCCTACCCTGCATTTGCATGGCTGACCTCCCCCACTCTCATATGCAGTTGCCTTCCTTTGCTTTCCCCCCTCGAGTGCATGGTCATCTACCCTCAGTATCTCTTGGTCTCTAGTACACGTGTGAGTGGGTCACTGGCTTGGATAACTGCACAAGTGACCCATCTAGTGAATTTCTAGATCCTACTCATAGTTTCCAAAGTACAAGTCAAGAATGTGATGCAATACTCTTCATTTGCTTCGACAAGTGCCCTCCAAAAGTACTCAGGAAGGTCCATACTATCCCAAACAAATTGACCAGGTTGATTGGCACTTTATTCCCGGTCTTCAACATTCACTCACTTTGCCATGGACGCATAGTGGAAACAATATGTATCGTCTAGAAGATGCAGTACAGCAACTCATCAAATCTCTTTCAAAAACACCTTACAAATCATAGAATCCCTACATTGCAGAAGCAGACCATTCGGCCCATTGAGTCCACACTGACCCTCCGAAAAGCATCCCATGCAGACCTACCCTATTCCTGTAACACTGCATGGACAATTTAGCATGGCCAATCCACCTGACCCGCACATCTTTGGACTATGGGAGGAAATTGAAGCACTCTGAGGAAACCCAAACAGATACAGGGAGAATGTCTGCATGGAGTTTGCACAGACACCCAAGGATGGAATCAAACCTGGGTCTCTTGGAGCTATTAGGCATCAGTGCTAACCACTGAGCCACCGTGCCACAAACTCTGACATCTAGATGGATAGAGCAGTGGTCTCATGGGAACACCATCACTTATAACCTCCATTCCAAGCTGTGCATAATCCGGACTTGGATCTATATCACACTTTCTTCGCGGTCACTGGGTCAGAATCCTAGAACACCCTCCCTCACTGCCCTGTTGGTGTATGTAAACCACATACCTGCACTAGTTCAAGACGGTACCTCACCATCAGCTTTTGATGGGCAATAAAGATGTTACACAGTTCAGGAGCTGCCATTTCACTTCCATAGCCAGTGTGAACCAGTCTGGCTATTCTGGTCAGTCTGAGCTCTGGTTTCTAGCCTTGTTGGCTGTCTGAGCTCGTTTTTGGTTTAAGATGTAATAGTTCAGCATCTGGACTAGTCAGTGATATGCATATCCTGTGAATGGATTAAGAAAACACAGGACAAATGATGTATAGTCCTGTATACAGCTGTTTACCGAACAATCTTGTAATACAACTCTACCCAGACACTCGGTTGCATTACTGTCTGATATAATGACTCTTCTTTGCCATCTTTCAGCATATTGCAAACATTAAGAAGCACATCCACAGTAATTTGATAATTTATTATAGCTCTCAAACATTGTCCTCTCTCTTCCTCTCCCAAAATAAACTCAGTGATTTATCAGCATTGTTAGTGGATGCATAATTAGGTGCTAGGAGACGGATGATTCTTCCTACTCAAGAGAGCAATCTCACTTGTTATCATGAGTGAGTTATGTAAGGCTTCTTCACCGAGAGAGTAAGTAGTTTTTCATTGGCATTTCTTTCAATAGGTTTTCTGCATTTTTACTTTTGGTAAAACGCGTGAAGGTAA